AGGTTTGAATAAATAAAGTTTCCTCTTTTTTTTTCTTTTTTTTTCTGGAAGAAGTGCTTATTTTTACAAATGAGGCTCAATCATTGGATTTGATGAAGAACTAAAGAAATTATTGAAATAATTTAAATACCTCTGAATAAAGAAATAAATAATTGTGGAATAACGGTTTATTGTAGTGAATTATTGAAGAGAATTATGGTTGGGATGATCAGTAAAAAAAAAAAGGAAAAATTAAAAATTATATCATATTCCTTCATATTCATTTTCTCAGTTTATTTTATTTAAACGTATTTCATTTTTTACTTATTTTCTATACACTGCTCTCAATGTGTGTATATGTATATGTGAGTGTGTGTGCATATATATATATATATACTTCTAGTTTCTCTTAAACGAACATCTCCCTATAGCGGACAAAATTCGATTCCTCCTAGGTGCCTACTACTAAGACGTTTTACTATAGACACCCAAGAATGAGAGAGGTAAACAGACACTAACAGGATGGGGTTTCCTTAGACTTAAATGGATTATCAACGGCGATGCTTAGCAAGCAGCTAGACTAAAGGGATTGCCAACCCTTGGGCTCTGGCCTAAGGAGTTCAACGGTCCGAATAGATTTTAAACTTAACAGTTAAAGGCTTAAGGCTGCTTAGAGCCTATATTATAATGGTTGTAGTTATATAATATTTAAAATAAGTAAGCTTTTTATTTTTATTACAAAAGATAACAGACCATTCCATCGGATCCTATATACCAAAGGACCCCACAAAAGGATCTTTAAAAAAAAATCTGGTGTGCGCAAAACACAATTTTCACTTACCACCCTCTTCTCAGCAGAAATAAGTATTTTCAGGTTTTCAGACAAAGGGGAAGGGAAAATAAAAATTATAGACGCTATATTTATTTACATTTCATTCTGGATATTCTAATTTGCTTAACTACTCTTACATAGACGAATTTTAATATTTATATAAATACAATTAAATATTAAATAATACCACCAAAAATATTTATGAAAACCACATATGTATATGTACATAATATTGTCGGAGTCCTTATTATATTAAGCTCATGTTACGAAAGCCTCCTATTGTACTCTTTTGGACGCGCTCGTATTTCTTTGGTTCCTTCATTACAACTATTATTCATTACGATCTCTTATCTCCTTTAGTTAATTATAAAATTCTTTCATATTTTATATTTCTCTATTTTTTGTATCAAATATTAATGTGAAAAGGTTGATTATTTCAAATAAAAAAAAACAATAAAGGTACTTTTGGGAAAGCTAATATTGAAAGTTAGCCATTTAAGCACTGTTATAGAAAATCAATGAGAATAAAACCTCCATTATATTAAAAACTGCTTAATAATACACTGAAATACTGAGTTTAATCAAAATCGTTAGAGCGGTTTTTGAGAAAATCGTAAAAGTGTGTTAAATCGATTATATAAAGTACCACCTCCGGTTTGCAGATTTTAACGAAAATGTTGCTATAACATCCAAGGATTATACTTAATTTCAGTTTCGTACGGCTTTTCGTTTTTGAGCTAGGCTGCTTTCATTCACACATATACTATTTTGCGGGACTTGGTTATTTAGGCTCATGGGACCTCAAAACGTGCATTTCCGTTGAAAGCTCAGATTCGAAAATTTTCACGATCGCTATTATATATAATACATGTATGTATAGATAAGTGAAAGTAAAAAACGCCGATAATTATTACACAACAGTTTATTATTTTCAAGCAATTATACATCAAAAGTTTCATTACTTTTCTTGTCAAATAGAGAAAGATATTATTCTCAATATTGGCACAAATATTATTTTTTATTCATTTTAATTTTTTATTTTTTATTTTTAATAAGTGTCCAAAAAAAAATGTAATAACTATTGAGAAATTTCACTCTTTCCGGTGTGTTACAAAATATTTACTATAAGGAAGTTATCGGAGACTACCAATGTGGATTTAGACTGCACCCTTCGACTATTGATCAAATATTTTTGTTACGCAATATATTGGAGAAAAAAATTAGAATTGTTCACTAGCTTTATATCGATTTCACAAAGGCTTATGATTCTATTGACCGCCGGAGCTGAATAATATTTTAATTGAGCAGGCGATCACAAAAAATTAGTGAATCTAGTTAGGATGTGTAGGCCCGAAACGTACAATAAAGAATCGGTATTTACCTATCCGAGAAATTTGGTGTTCGATTGGGCTTGAAACAAGTTGATTACCTTTAACCTGTCCTATTTAACATTAGAACATGCCATTAGGGCGGTGAATTTTTTGATTCGCTAAACCTTATTATTATTATTTATTCATCATTAGTAATTTGCCAAGAAAAGTAAAAAACATTGCTTCAGTTGAATTAACACTTTCCAAAAAAACTTAGCAATAAAACATATGAAAAATATTCAGGACACCATATCTTCTCACCAAATTGTCCGGTTTCAATGATTTTTTTTTAATTTCGTAAATTTTTAAATAACCATCAAACATCAACAAAATTGTATATTTCTGAGTTATTCGGAAATCTAATTTTACCACTCCTCGTAACTTTTTTCAGTTTATTTTCGTTTAAGTGTTTTATTTAGGTAAATTTAAATGGTGTCGAGAAGAAGATTTAAGCCTTATTGAAACTTTCTATAAGAAAAGTCTATACGACGCAGGTTATTCGGCCGCCATCTTTGAACGAAAGTATTTTTCAGTGGACTATGTTCTATATATAGATTTAAAGGGCATCGAGAAGAAGACTTTAGCCAAGTTTAATTAAAATCAGTACATTCGTGTAGGCGTTGCAGTTTATTAGAGTTAAATTAATTAACCTTTGCTGTACATATTAAAAATATCTAGAACACCATATGTTTAATTTAAATTATCCGATTTCAATTATTTTTTTTAGAAAAAATTGTAAACTTTTAAATAATCATATCAACAAACAATTGTATACTTATGGAGTTATTTGGAAATATATTTATACCACCTTTCGTAACTTTTTTTTCAGCTCCATTTTGTTGAAGTATGTAATATAGATTATGAAGAGAAGAATAGTTGGGGTGGTCAGTCAAAAAAGAAGGCAAAAATAAATGATAATATTTATTTTTACATATGCCGACGTTTCAACCTGAAGTTCAGGCCATCATCAGGGCTAAGAAAAGAACCAGATAACAAGGTATGAGAAATATAAGAATTACAGTAAAATGAAGTTGTTAGAATAATGACAATAGTAAGAACAAGAGAAAAATAATAATAACAGGTACAAAGTGTGGAATGATGAAGTAAACATAGTCAAAAAAGGTGACATAAGTATTGTAAAGGAAATCTTACAATAAAATGTAAAACAGAAAAATATGAAGTTATATAAGAAATGGAAATAGATAGTAAAATTAAGATATAGTGAATAGAATATTTAGATATAAAATTGAGATGTTGTAAAGTCTATCAATATGTACAGACAAAGTATGAAATAATTAAGAGTTAAAACAGAGAAAAGGAATGAAAGGAAGGAGGAGAGAAACTGAGAAGGTTGAAATAAGAAAGAAAATAAGTAAGAGAAAAATGATAACAACCTGACTGCTCTAAGATAAAGATGCAATGCTCATGTTATTGAAGAATGGAGGTGGATAGAAGGGGTGCATAGTGGCGTCATCTATATTATTAGTAATATAGATTAATTAAAAGGACATAGAGAAGAAGACTTAAGCCAAGTTTAATTGAAATCGGTGCATTATTTTAGGCACTACTGTCTATCCAAACACAGCATTATTAGCAGCCATCTTGCGGGAAAAGGGGGGATAGTAATGTCGATGTAGGAGGATCATTGCCGGGTGATTTCTGACTTTGATTCCAAATGTAAAAAAAAAAAAAAACGGTCCAATAGTCTCGGAAAATAGAATTAACAACTATATTTTTATTCGATTTTCGAGTTCTACGTGTTCTGAAACGTAAAACCTAAAATTATGAGAGGGGTTAAGTTTTAGAACGTTTTGGTCGATTACAATGGTTCATTATTGAAAATAATAAACCAAAAAATAATCCTAAATTTTGTGTAACCAATCTTATAGTTTTTACTTTCATTTAGCTACATATTAAATTTATATATTATGGAAAAGTATTAAAATCGTGAAAAATTTTAATCCTTGTTTTCAACGGAAATGCATATTTCAACGGCTCCTAAGACTCAAAGACTCGTCTTGGTCTTTTAAACTCAGTCTTGGTCTTGTGCAAGAGTCTCGCAACAGTCTTGCAGTTACCTATTAGCCTATTACTGTAGTAATATTATTGTATTTTTTTAGATAGAAGAAACCTAACTAAGACTGAATGAAAAATTAGAAGAGTTTAATGCAAAATTATATTTTTATTTTAAATTCCTAGATGATAAGAAAAACTGTTTCCTTTTTTCAAGATTGAAAAATAACATTTTTTTAAATAGAGTTAGATTACTGTTTTCTTTCCCTATTCTATTCATTTGTTAATAATTTACTAAGTGTATTTTTATTTTTAATGCAATTGTAAATATCATGAATAACAAAAAAAATTAAGATATTTAACATACTTTAGATTTTTTTTTTCTAATAACTTAAAAACTACTTACTTAAATTGTGCAGAACTCATTTAATTCGAATATGGGTTCCTTAAATTTTCAATAATTATTATAGTCGAATTTTGACCACTGGGTTAACAATTATCATTTTAAATTATTGTAAACAAGAACTGAGTAAATAATTTTATAAAGGATATTTTTAATAATTACAGAAGTAATGTTCCCTGAATGCAATGTATTTTAAATGAAATAGTGTGAAGCAAATAATGGTTGCTGTCTACAAATGCCAAATGACCCTAGATAATATTATAAAATATATTCTATGCTATATAAATTGAAATAGGGACTAATACAGAGAATATAATTAATAATAAATTCTAGTTGTTACAATTTTTCTTGACGGCAATGTGAGCAAAAACAGCCATTGGTGATAATTAGACAGGCTGATAATGGAACAGCCGCCCAACGTGGACTAAATATTTCTCCTGTTAATGGAGTTGTGTTGGTGTGGAGTGCCGTGTTGTTGTCGCCATGACACTTCTATACCTGCTGGTACTGGTGCATGTAGCGGTCGCCGTACAGGTTAGAAACTTTGAACAACAACCGCATTGTTTTAGTGAAAGTACTTAAGCATTGATTGAATCTTTCGTAAATAAATTGTTAATTGAATTATTAATTTATACATGGCATTTTCAGTAAAAATCAAGTTTTTTTTTCCATTGGTTTATTATTATATTATTATTATTCTATTTTAAATAATCAATATAAATCGTGAAAAAATTCGATTTGGCGCAACGATATGTTATTCTAAATATTTTCCACCTTTTTCCTTTAAAGCTGATATCTTTTGTTTTGATTTTTGGAAAGTCTTACAACACCTGATCCAATCAAGATTTTTATCTATATTTCTTATTTAATTGTTTTTAAAAATAATTATATTTAGGCCTATATTAGGAATCAATTTTTATTTATTTTTCTCTATGTGACAAGTAAAGTTGTATTACATATGATATATAACTGTTTAGAAATAATAAATTATTGTCTAATAATTTGCGATATTTATTATTAAATTTTAATTAAATATCCATAATTAGTTTGTATTACAAAATGTTTAGTTGAAAATGAGAGTTTTCTCCGATAATCGTTTCAAAAGATGGTAATCCTATATATTATTTCTAAAAAGTGTTTTTTTGTCGTAACTTTCTTCAATTCTTCATCAAATTCAACGGTTGACTATTCATTTTGAAGATATTCTTCTCCTCCACATACGAAAAATAGTCCTATAACCCCGAAATTTCTGGAAAAAAATGTTATAAAGGAAAAGAAACTTTATTTGCGAATAACTCAAAAAGTATGCATTTTTTCTTGGTTGTATACATGATAATTAGAAAGATAACTAAATTACCTACAAAACAAAAAAAAATCGTAAAAGTCGATTAGAAAGAAGTAAAATTTAAACAATTTGTATTGACGGAAGGATTGAAGTGTGTTAAAATATTTTTTTAAATAGAAACAGAGTTGAGATTTGTATTTCGCAGCTCGAAAGACCCTCGAATACGAATTTTCATTGCGCTCGAATAATAAAAATATTTTGGTCTATTATGTTAAATGGAATATTCTAATCGACCTAGGAAAAAAAATTAATTATTTCCCTTCACAATACATAGGATTTACTTATTTCCATATTATTTTGTGCTATTTCTTCACTAAACAAAATTTTCTGCGATTATTCGCACGGGCCAACTAGTAAGGCTTATTATAAAATATATAATATCTTAACAGAATTAAATAAATAAATAAGTCAAAACTATTTGGTCTAATTATATATGACATATGAATATTCCTTAGCTGAATATATTATATTAAATAAAGGAAGGTGCTTATTAGAAAATATTATATATTTTGTTACGTTCCAGGTGTCAACGAAAAGCGGAAAGTTAAAAGGAGATTTCATAAGAAATCAGTTTGGTAGCAACTATTATGCATTCAGGGGTATACCTTATGCAAAACCAATGATTTCCAACATAAGTTCCAAGGTATCGATTTAATTATATAACAAGATAAGGTATTTAAATTAAATATATAAAAGCAACAAAAAGGTCTAAAACATCCAAGGTTGAAAAAGGGAAATCTAAAAAAATCAAAATGGAAATTAAAACAATATTTGATTAATATTGGAGGAGTTGATTTTTTGTTCTGTAGAATAAAAATAATTATAAAAATTGTACTTCATGATCTTTAAATAATAATAATATATAATATAGACATGACGTATATGAAGGTAATGGTGGACTAGATTTCCATTACACAATTTATTTTACTTTATAAGTAAAAAAAAAAATCGCAAATATATAAATCGTCCATTTCCAAATATAGAGTAAAATTTTGCTCATGAATCATAATAATGGGAAATCTTAAAATTTATTCTCTGGGGTCTGTAAATAAAATGTTTGATGAACAATGCATTGCATTAAAATTCAATTTGTTTTCAGGGACGAACCTTAAATTAAACCTGTATTCAATGGTATGCATAAACATGAAGATAAAATTGTAATGTGGTCTGTATCTGTCGTTCAATAAACCAATTCTTTCTTCCATTACCTAACAGCTGGTTTAAATAAATAGCTATCCAGAATTGTCAGAATAAAAATTGAAAGAAAACAGTAATCTAACTCTATTTAAAAAAATGTTATTTTTCAATCTTAAAATCAAAAGGAAACAGTTTTTCTTTTCATCTCGAAATTCAAAAAGATTCGGGCAGAAAAAAATTTCCATTTAAATACAGTCATTCTCCAATAATATAGGCTAACAATAAATGTTAAAAAAAAAAATTATTTTTTTCGTTCCTTTGAAACTTTTCCGAAATTACATGAGGAAAAGCACTCTACTAAAGGTAAAAGGTTAAAATATTCTCTTGATTCACATATTCATTTTGATAATATCATTGAATAATTAAATATATTTTTAACAACTCTTAAAAATGAAAAATATTTCAATCTCTTAAATTATATATAATATTATCATCTTTTTCCTTTATTGATTTTTTTCAAAATTAAGGATATTATTAATAGTGACGTTAGTGATAGTGATATTTTAATTATTAAATAAAAAAGGTTGTAAATTTTTATTGAATCCTATTTATTATTTCTAAAAGATTTTTTTTTTTTTGTCGGTACGCCGTAACTTCGTCAATTCTTCATCAAATCCAATGATTGACCACTCATTTTGAAGATATTCTTCTCCTTCATATGCGAAAAATAGTCCTATCCCCTCGAAAATTTCGGAGGAAAAGTTATGAAGGAAAAGAAACTTGATCCGCGAATAACTCAAAAAGTATGCATTTTTTTCTGGATTGTACCCATAATAATTAGAAAGATTACTAAACTACCTGCAAAACAAAAAAAAAATTGGTTAAAGTCGAACAATTATTAACAAAGATACAGTCCATTAGTTTGGTATATTTAATAATGTCTTTCTCTTTAAAGCGATTGCATTTAGGAGTAGAATAGTCTACTTCACTTTTTTTCCTGGCTGATATATTAACTTTATTATTTCTTAAAGGTATTTGTTTGTTCTTACATTTTACTTTTTTTAATAATTTAGAGAATCCCATGATCAGGGAATTATTTTTCTTTATTACTTTTATTATCTTTCCAGTTAGCGTTTAAAAATAGGCTATAGCAAAGCAATTTGCACAAATATTTTGGTCCATTATGTTTAATGGAATATTGTATTCGACCAAGGAAAAATATTAATTTCTCACTTACATAATACATAAGATCTACTTATTTCCATATTGTTTTGTATAAAATTTTCTGCTAATTATTCCCAAGGGCCAACTAGTATTATTTATTTTTCTTTTAACAGATTCCTCTAGAGTAATAATAAATTTAGTAAAATGTGAACTGTAGTGTAGACAACATATAAGAATTACTTTAAATTAAAAACAAAATATAGTTTTATATATGCAGTCCACTATAATTATTGTCCATGTGACAGATTGTTATATTTCTAAATAAATAAATAATATATGGAATGAGGTTTGATTAACTCCTCTTTTCTGTCCTGATGAGGCGAAACGTTGACATATTTTTTGGCTTCATTTTGGAAACGTAAGGCTGTGTGTGGTTTGATTTTTTTTTTTCAATTAAAACCTAGCATATATTTTTACACCTGATTAAAAATTAGAGTTCGTAGATTGATTAATTAGTTACTGTTACTTAAAAGTGTTTTATTGTTTTAAGAATTATAGTTATTATTATAACACTAACTTATGTATTTTGATTTCTGATACCGAAGTTATGAAAACATTGAATTCATGAGGAGCGGGGAAGGCTTTAACAAAAATTAATTTAAAAAAAAAAAATTGATGTAGAGAAGATTAACCGTGATGTAATATGAGAAGGAGTTGGTCGTGGGATGGCGGTCAACTGTCACCCACTATATCTCTATGTCATCTTATTATTTCTTTATCAGACAGCTGTTTCTTATTTGATATCTACTTATAATTCATTTATTTTATTTTCACCATGTATCTTTATATTTTGTATATTTTTTAGACCTCATGAAGACCTAAGAAAAGTCGGCGTAACCATTAAAATACTATTGTAAAAATTTAGTATTTATTTGACAGCACACTGCCCCCTCCTTCTCATAAAAAAATATTGTTAAATGAAATTGTGTTTTTTAATTTATATAAGTTTATTTAAACTTATTATATTATAAACGAGTTATTAATTTTCAGGATGAATGTTTTGATAAAATAAGAAGAAAAGAATTTCTGTTGTTTCAAAAGAAAAATAAATGCAATAAAACATTTTATATTTAACAAAAACAATTACTACCGTTAAGTGGTACACATATTCACATTTAGAAATAATGTTTTATATGACCAATTTTTTTTTTTTTTTTTTTTTTTTTTTAAAGGGAGAAAACAATTTTGGAATTGGATTTTGGAGCCGAAACGTTAAATAATAATTTTTAAATGTTTATAAAAAAGTTTTAAATATAGAATAAAAAATGGAGAGATTGAAAAGGGGTTTTTGAGAAATACATAATCATATATAAATGAAATATAAAAATTAAATCCTTACAATTTTAAATTTCCACTCGTGTTTTGTCATTGAGACATGAAGGTACAAATTTGGTTCCATGTATCACTTTCTTTTGGTCTGTCTGTCTGAAGTCAATTCTGCGTGATTCCGTAAATCTGGGTTTCATTAAATTACGAGAGACTGTTAGTACCTATGTAGTTCATAATCCATTTTATTAAAATTCTTAACAATACACCTTATAATAATGTTGAGGAAGACTAACTTAGGCAAGACAGACTATAAAGCAGACTTTATTTATTCTTTTTCTGTTTCTGTTTAATTTATATATATATATATATATATATATATATATATATATATTATATATATATATATATATATATATATATATATATATATATGTAATTTCTTAAACAGTTCATTTTATTTTTCTTCTGCAGGATGCTCAGCCAATAGAAATGTGGAACGGAGTTAGGGATGCAACTATTGGTTGGAGGAGCCAACCTAATGTAACCAATGAGAGACAAGAGTTAGAAGACTGCCTCTATCTCACAATATATACGAGGAAGGTAACACATTCACAAGACATGGATACAATATGACAGTAGATTCCAATATCTAACAATCTAATACAAAGCTAAAATTTTACTAGAATAACACCATAATATCCATTTCTATGAAGAACAGAAAATAAATAGAATATCTATTCGTTTATTTAGTGCTCAAAATTTACACTTTTTGAAGTGAAAACTTCTTTAGGTGCGTTTTCTACTTTTTTTTTGTGTAGAGTGAATTAGATTGAGCCGTCAGATCTCCAATGTGTAACGCTCGGGTAAAATCGGCTTGAGGCAACTAATTGTATTGGTATATGCGTTAAAATATCTCGAAAACTAAAAATCGGACCTGCATATTGTTAGCGAGAGAAATGTTCATCATTTCATCCTCTTTGTAATGTGCTATTATCCAAAATTTATCTTAAGGCGACGCCATGTTAGAGAAGCAAAAAAGGAAAAAATAGTGTTGAAAACCAAACGATAACCAGTTTTATTAAATATATGGATTTATATATCAACTTAATTGGATTAAAATAGAAACTAAAAATTAGACTTGCACACTGTAATCGAGAAAGTTGTTTAGAATTTCATCCTCTTTATAATAAGCTATTATTTATAATATTTATGTCATATTATTAATCTGGGATTGTTGATGTTTTCATTTCTATCGAGGTGTCTAAAGCACAGACCTTATCTGTTTTTTTATTTTTTATTGATCAATTCAATTTCGTTTTTAAAATCGTGAAATCACTTATTTACATCAATCATTTTTTCATTCATACATGAGATACAGTAAAAACACTTTATTATACAACAGTATTTCATCTATTCTCTACTTTTTGTTGATTTCATATCATATCATGTGCTATTTTTTATTTAATTTTTAGTTATTATTTTAGTTATTCATTCAAAAGTTATTGCTCTTTGCAAGAACATTCTGTACGATGAGTAACATAAAGGAAAGTGCTGTATTTTCAAAGCAACCTTGATTTTCGTTTGCACATGGAAAGATCCCAACAACTTAAGAATCGACATCCCAAGCCATCGATTCCCAATAATACAAACAGATCAGGGATATTTATAAATAGCTTTAAAATTAAATGATTTCTGTACTCCGTTCCTTTCTTAATTAAATTTTTTTAAACTTCAATTTTTGGCTGTGAAGAAACGTAATTCATGCTGTTCCAGATAAGAAGATGGTTACCGCCAACCATGGCACACACGTACCAAACCTCTCCAGTCGAAGTGTACTTTCAAGGATGTAACATCAACTCTAAAGATAATCAGACAAAATCTGGAACTGATAATCTACCAAATGATGTGGTTAAAGTGCTAATATATCACAGGGAGATACCATCTAGTAAGTGATAGCTAAACTATTCTATTAGTTTTAATCAACAGCACGTCGAATCGATAATGATTTTATTTCTTTATTGAGATATATTACAATTTGTCACAAGTAAGGACATTAGTTATAGTGATAAAGAGTAGCTCATTCATACTATGTACAATAAATAAACAGCAATATAATAATACTAAAATTAAATAAACTAAAAGATACTAAACTTAACTAATCAAAATAACTACTTAAATATACACATGCTTTTATACAATATTACCATTATTCATTCACTCAAGGTCTCCAAGCCAATTCTTTCTCCCCACTCTTGGTAGTAAAGGCAGGACCCTAGGAGATCCCAGCGTCTTTCACTCAGCCGCATCAATAGTATTACCAATGGAGGCTGAGCAGAGACACTATGGATGGCCATTGCCAGAACTCCAATATATTCTTACAATAAGGCCACTGCCGCTTCAACCTTCGAGGAGGATTGTAGGGATGAGTAGAGCTAGATGGGGATTGTGCAAGTGGATTTGGATGATATGTAAGGTTTTTTTGGAATTTGGAAAATTTTTGAGAGATAAGGTCCAGGACAAATGGGATATTAAGGTGTAGGGTTTGGTTGGTTACATGGAGGGAGCATCAAATATTGTTCAAAAAGGACAATCATATGTGTAATCAAACAGTCCATCTTCATATGTGTATGTCGTAACGTCGGCAAACCTAATAAAAATTCTTGACTGTAAATCCTGACAATTTTATTGATCCATTGTAAATAATAGCTCATTATGACGAGGGTGAAATGCTGAACGTTTCCCTTTCTTTTAGTATACCGGTTCGATTTTTAGTTTCTGACGTATTTTAACCAATATCTTCAACAGAATTCATTATCATTTGTTTTTCGACACTATATTTTCCTTTTTCGCCTCTTTAACACGAAATCGCGTTAAGAAAAAAAATTCTTCCTCTTTATAAGCTATTATTTACAATGAGTGTGGGTTGACAGTTGTCTGTAGTGAATAATTGCAGAGAAGGATGGTTGGGTTGATCAGTCAAAATGAAAAAAAGTAAAAATAAATAATTATATTTATTTTTATATTTTCCGATGTTTCGTCCTGAAGTTCAGACCTTCATCAGGGATAAGAAAAAAAATTAAAAATAAAAATAATTATAATTATTAATTTTTACTATTTTTTATTTTGACTGATCACCCCAACCATCCTTCTCTTATATTATTTATCATTTATATTTCGCATTATTAATCTCGTCTTGTTGATTTTTTCACTTCTACGTGATCTAAAGCTCACACATTAGTTTTTTTTCGTATTTAAATTTGTCTACTCCCATGAACAATTAGGGATGAAATTTCATTATCACATATATATAGTTTTATTTCTATTTACTTGTAGGCCGCTTTCCTTTGCTTACCTCATCAGAGTATTAGCACTCTTATCACAGTTTCTCAATGTCCTCTGGGTGGGGAGCATGGGAGGATATTGTTTGAAATATATCCTACATGTCCATATGAAATATATAATATATGCCTTGTATATGGCATATTAATATATCGTATTGAGTTGCTTCAAACTCTCCTAATCACAAAAAAGTGTTGTCACACGAAATACTTTAAAATAAAACAGTACTGCATTTTAATATATGATTCCTTTTACAGTTTAGTTTAGTTTATGATTCTAAAACAGGACTCCGTTAAACGAATTATATGCCTGCTAGGTAGTCCTATTTAATGGAATTGTAATGTGCAGGATTGATATGTTCATGAAGTTCATACTATACCGATTTGTTGGGGGGGGGGGGGCTAAGCCTCCACTACAGCAGCTTGTGATGGGGGGCTCAAGCCCCACGAACCCTTAGTAGTCGGTGCCTATGAATTGTTGTACTATCGAGAACGATTTCCATTTAATGCAGATCCTTTTGTAGAATTTTCGGCTCACTATTATGTATTTGCCATATCTTTATTTACCTGTAGGCCGATTTGCTCTGCTTTTCTTATCATAGTCTTAAAGAGTTTTTAATACCCAATTGATAACTTCCAAAGACAGCTGTAATCTCGGTATTTCGAAGAATTTTATAATTTATTCCTACCTGCAGCCCTCCATTCTCACGTGATGTTCTTATCTTCTTCTATTGGTCCGTGGTACAGAACCCGTTTTATAAAATTATTAACATCCACCTGAAAATCCGTAAATAGCTTCATTGTAAACCAGAAATATTTAATTTACGAAAACGTTGTCTATTTAATTAGGTACTAAAAACTCGTATATGCTCATTTAGTTTGCACTTGAATCGTAAGATGACATCACAAAATAAAAAATAAAGCAAGGTGGCCTACAAAAATATTGGGCCGTTTATTGTGACCTCCTATGTCAAAATAACCATATATAGACCAAACGGCCCAATACTTTTGGAGGCCACTTCTTTTTTTTCGATTTTGTGATCATATTATCTTAAGATTAAAACGGCAAGCAAACGGGTATTTAAAAGTTTTTACTAATTAATTAAATAGACAAAGTTTGACAATGTCCAGATTGAAAATGCCACATTTCCGAGAATTTTCGTAAATTAAAAATTCTCGGAAATGTGGCGTTTTCAATCTTGACATTGTCAAACTTTGTCTATTTAATTAAGTAGTAAACACTTGTAAATACCCGTTTGCTTTCCACTTTAATCATAAGATAATTTGAGCATAAACTCGAGATAAAAGGTGGCCTTCAAAAATATTGAGCCGTTTGGCACGACCTACACAACCAAAATGTCTAAATAACGAAATTGTATAGGCCAAACGGCCTAATATTTTTGTAGGCCACCTTTTTCTCGGTTTAGTGAATAAATTATCTTACGATCCAAGTGGTGATCAAATGGGTGGGTTTTTAGTGCCATATTAAATAGACAACGTTGGCCGACCTCCAGATTGAAAACGCACTAATTCTAAGTGTTTTCGTAATTAAAAAAGTTTTGGGGTTAGAATGATATGAATTTACAATGAGTTATTATGGTGATAAATATTTGGCAATGGCCAGATCCTCCACTCAAGCCCGAGTGTGTATGATTAGGTTAGTTCTTTTGTTTTGTTCCAACGTTTCAACCCAAACATATGGGTCATCTTCAGGGCGTGGTTTGAGCACTGAGGGTGTTCAAGTACTTTATTATTTATAATAAAGTTGGGGAATTTTTAATCTGGAAATTGGCAAATATTTTCTATTTCGTTTGGTACTAAAAATTCATGAATACCCGTTTGCTTTCCACTTGAATCGTAAGATAATATGATCAAAAAAATAGAAAAAAAGAAGATGTCCTACAAATATATTGGGCAGTTTAGTCTATATAATCTAGTTATTTTGATATAGGAGGTCACAACAAACGGCCCAATATTTTTGTAGGCCACCTTTCTTTTATCGATTTTTTTTTTATCATCTTACGATTAAAGTGGAAAGGAAATGGATATTTATTAGTTTTTAGTACCTAATTAAATAGACGTGGTAATTTAAATACCTGGGTGATCACCTCAACGTGTTCGGATGGGTTGATGGAGACATAAAAGAGACAATTAAGACGGTAGGAAAATGCTTCTATTCCCTCAAATCAGGCTTTTTGGATAAGAGGGAAGTCTCAAAGGCCACTAAGAAGATTGTCTTCAAGAATACCCTTCTCCCTATATTAACATATGCAAGCGAGTCTTGGACCCTCACTTGTAAGCACAAAAGAAATCCGATATTCAAGGAAAATAGAGGGAAATACAAGAAGAGATCGTGTTAGGAATGTAACCATACAAGGTAATCTGGACCTGAGGCCTGCAGAGGAGATAATCCAAGAAAACCAACTTGGTTTGGACATGTCTCGCGAATGGCTGAAAACAGATTTGCCAGGGCTACCTATGAGATCAAAGTGGACGGAAGGTCTTCCCACAGAGAAGACCAAGAAAAAGATGGGAAGAAGGAGTTAAAGAAGCCTTTGACAGGAGAGGAATGGACTGGAGTAGGAGAAGACAGCTGGCCCAGGATAGAGATTCTTGGATCAAATAAGAAGGAACCTCACACTGCTCAGCGGTAACAAAGAGGACTGGATTAAGTAAGTAAATTAAATAGATAACGTTTGCCACGAGATTGAAAACGCCTTCCAAGAGTTTTGTAAATAAAAATGTTTTAGGTTAGAATGAGATGATGTTATTCAAGAAGTTTCAGACAGATGTTATTACATGTTTCACTATGGTACACGGAGTTGAAGTGGCTTTTTCCTACTTCCCGACGACAATTCCTTCTTTGCGTTTTCCTTTTCCAAGTATTCAGAACCAAAAACCCTCCATACATCCTGGAACTCCTTACTCTACGCTCCTCTATCCACTCTCTCAATACTAGGTCTCAACCTATAGACTTATATATTCCCTCCCATAAAACTTCCTCCCTCAGCAAATCCTTCGTCATTCGTGCTGCTTCCTTATGGAACTCACTTCCTACCTCCATGCGTCAATCCTCATCCACAAATTCCTTCAAACAACTCCTGTTCCAACACCTACTCCACATTAAAACTTCCCCTAAGATGTAAAATTACTTGCAACTATACAATGTTTAATTTCAATCCATTGCACAATTGAAATAACAATTAACAATAAATTAGTTGGTATTTTTACTATGTCAGACTAAGATACATAAATTTGTAACTCTGTTATTATTCTTAGGGGACAGTAGTCCCAGAATAAAATTATTTTTTCATTTTCATTCATTCATTCATGTTAATAATTTGATGAAAAGCGGTCTGTACCACGGGCTATATACCATGATCCAAGATCGCTCAAACTATCATGCAAAGGACTTTTCTTAAATATATATATATATATATATATATATAGCGTCGTCGGACTTAAGAAATAAAAAAAAAGAAGGAAAAGGGAAAAGATGTAACATACACGACTTCTGAAATAACACTGCTTTATTCGTTCCATAAGCCTCCTTATATACACTTAGCCTGTTTATTTACATTACCAGATAGTATTAAGGCTGATACCG